GAAGCTACGGGGAGCCATGGTAAGCTATGGTAAGCTATGGAAAGCTATGGGGAGCTATGGAAAGCTATGGAAAGCCATGGTAAGCTATGGGAAGCCATGGTAAGCTATGGGAAGCCATGGTAAGCTATGGAAAGCCAGGGTAAGCTTTGGGCATCTATGGGGGAGCTATGGGAAGCTATGGGAAGCTATGGGAAGCTATGGTAAGCTACGGGAAGCTATGGTAAGCTATGGGAAGCTATGGGAAGCTATGGGAAGCTATGGGAAGCTATGGGAAGCTATGGGAAGCTATGGGAAGCTATGGAAAGCTATGGGGAGCTATGGGAATCTACGGGAAGCTATGGGAAGCTACGGGAAGATATGGGAAGCTATGGGAAGCTATGGGAAGCTATGGGGAGCTATGGGAAGCTATGGGGAGCTATGGGAAGCTATGGGGAGCTATGGGAAGCTATGGGAAGCCATGGTAAGCTATGGGAAGCTATGGGAAGCCATGGTAAGCTATGGGGAGCTATGAGGAGCTAAGGAAAGCTACAGGGAGCTACGGGGAGCTACGGGGAGCTACGGGAAGCTACGGGGAGCTATGGGAAGCTATGGGGGAGCTATGGGAAGCTATGGGGAGCTATGGGGAGCCATGGGAAGCCATGGTAAACTATGGGGAGCTATGGGGAGCTATGGGGAGCTATGGGAAGCTATGGGAAGCTATGGGAAGCTATGGGGAGCTATGGGAAGCTATGGGGAGCTATGGGGAGCTAAGGAAAGCTACGGGAAGCTATGGGGAGCTATGGGAAGCTATGGGAAGCTAAGGGAAGCTATGGAAAGCTATGGGGAGCTATGAGAAGCTATGGGGAGCTATGGGAAGCTACGGGAAGCTATAGGAAGCCACGAGGAGCTATGGGAAGCTATGGGGAGCTATGAGGAGCTATGGAGAGCTATGGGAAGCTATGGGGAGCTATGGGGAGCTAAGGAAAGCTACGGGAATCCACGAGGAGCTATGGGAAGCTATGGGGAGCTATGGGGAGTTATGGGGAGCTAAGGAAAGCTACGGGAAGCTATGGGAAGCTATGGCAAGCATGCGGATGACAATGACTCACGTCGTTCGCCTCCTCCCACCTGCCCTCCTCCATGAAGCGTTGGTCGGGGCGCATGCGGCTGTCCGTGGGAGGCACGCCCGGCTCCGGCTCGTTCAGCTGCACCGCCAGCTCCGTGAAGTTGTACATGCGTGCGTTCTCCGGCCTGCGAGACGAACACGGAGGAAGGAGAGCGCGTGGTTATGCGAGGGCTGCACGCATGGAGTGATACGTGTGTTCTTCCTCCTCCCTGCTCTCCCTCTCCTCTCCCCTTAACTCTCTCTCTCTCTCTCTTCCTCTCCCTTTCTCTCTCCCACTCCCCCTCTGCTCTCTCTCTCTCTCGTGCCGCTGCTCCCCTCATCACTCTCTCTCTCTCTCGCGCTCTCCCTCTCCCTTTCTCGTCTCCCTCTCCCCTTACTCTCTCTCTCTCTCTCTTCCTCTCCCTTTTCTCTCTCCCACTCCCCTCGCTTCTCTCCTCTCTCTCTCGCGCTTCTCCCCTCACTCTCTCTCTCTCGCGCTCGCCTCTCCCTTTTCTCTCTGCCTTCCCCTTCGCTCTCTCGTCTCTCGCATGCTCTCTCTCTCCCTTTCTCTTCTTCCTCTCTCTCTCGCGCTCTCCCTCTCCCTTTCTCTACTCCTCTCCCCCTCACTCTCGCTCTTCTCTCTCTCTTGCGCTCTCCCTCTCCCTTTCTTTCTCTTTCTTCCCCCTCACTCTCACTCTCTCTTCTCTCGCTCTCCCCTCTCCCTTTCTCTCTCCTTCTCCCCCTCGCTCTCCTTCTCCCTTTCTCTCTCCGCCTCTCGTGCCCTTCTTTCCTCTTCCTTTCCTCTCGTTTCCTCTCCCGTTTGTGCCGTTGTCTTTCCTTTCCTCACAAGAACAACTGCCAGTAAATAGCGATTCACTCGTGTTGCCTCCACAGCTTCAATTTTGCCATGCGATTGTACAGTCGCTCCCGATTAATCTTTAGTCTCCGGCGACCGTCCAAAACTTTTATTCGTTTCTCAGCAATTTGCGGTTTATACCAGGGAAGGTAATCCCGTGGACACAGAATTCGGTCAAAGCTTCAAGAGTTAACTGCGTTGTTCAGTTTGGATTTTTCCTTTAAATTTCGTTCACGACGTTCCTGTTCCGCTCTCGCAGGTCTCGCGTCTCGCTCTTTTACGCGTCGTTAGTTGTTCAGTTGAAAAAAAAATACAGGGGGGCTCGGGGCGATTTAGGCCCCGCCCGAAATGCGCAAAAAAGAGCTGCGAAATAGCCAAAGAGCCCCCGTTAAATTTGCCATAGAGTCATTGCAAACCAAATTTTAATATTGCTATTTCATGCACGCGAGTCTTGAAAAGTAGCCCCGAAAAATAAATTGAAATTTATTCCTATTGCCGGTTTGGTGCTTGCAGGTGACGGCGGGGTTGCGATCGTTGACGCTCGCGGAGCCGTGCGCTGGGGTGCTGTCGGGACACTGGGCGATGGCTGCAGGGAGCCAATGTGTGGAGAGCGTGATGGGGAAGGGAAAGCAGCCGTGTCGAGACTGGTGGCCGTCCGCGTGCGCTGTTGGAAGCGGCACATGCCTCCGTAAGCTCTCTGCGCGCGACGTCGTGTGTGTGTGATGTGTGTGTGTGTGCGTGCCGGCGTGCCGTGTCTGCTGTGCGTGCGTTGCTTGAGACGGCCGTCCGTACGCTGTTTGCGAAGCGGCACATGCCTCCGTAAGCTTCTTACGCGGACGTGTGTGTGTGTGTGTGTGTGTGTGTGTGTGTGCTGTGTGTGCTGCCTGCCTGTTGCTCCTGGCGTCAGGTGCGTGCGTGCGTGTGTGCCGTGCGTGCGTGCGTGCGTGCGTGCGTGCGTGCGTGCGTGCTTGAGACGGGGCCGTCCGTGATTGCTGTGGAAGCGGCCACTATGCCTCCGTAAGCTCTCACGGCCGACGTGTGGTGTGGTGGTGTGGTTGCGTGCGGCGGGGTGCTGCCCGTTGTGTGTGGTGTGTGCTGTGCCTGTGCGTGCGTTTCGTGCGTGCTGTGCGTTGCGTGGTCCGTGATGCTGTGAAGCGATCT